AGAGAGAGAGAGAGAGAGAGAGAGAGAGAGAGAGAGAGAGAAAGAGGAGGTTCCCACTGTCTAAAAAACAGTTTGTTACAGCAAAAGCTGTTATGAACGGGGGTGGGTGGGGGGGTGGGAATGCCCTCTACTTTGAATCAGCAGCAAGGTGGGTTTACTACTTGAACAGATGCTGGACGATACACAAGGTCATTTGATTTTCGGCTACCAAGTAAGGTGTGGATGACTAATCACAGCCACAAGGAAACCATAATAACCCCAACAGGAGTGCTTTGGCTGTTGCTGGAGGTGACTTCTCAATACTTCAAAGCAAGGCTGGCATGGCAACGGCAGAGACCGATGGGCAGAAGCAAAATACTGGCTAGAACGTGGTGGCCTCCTTGCGGAGCAAAGGAGGGAGGGACAGGACTGCAAAAGGCAAACCCCCCCCCCCCCCAATGGGTTGCTAACCTCTGTCCAGACCAGTGAAGAAACTTCCCAGGGAGGTTCTCTAGGGCAGGGGGTCTCCAACCTTGGCCCCTTTAAGCCTGGAGGACTTCAACTCCCAGAATTCCCCAGCCAGCTCTGCTTAAAGTGGCCACGGTTGGGAGACCCCCTGCTCTAGGTGAGCAATGGGCACCATCAAAAGAAAAACAAAGCCCCCGTGTTTTTTTTTAGAGAATTACTCCTAAGACTGGTGGCTTTAAGGACTGATTATGATGATTGTTCAAGAAGGCCACTGGGGGGGGGGGGGAAACCCACCCAAGCAAAAAAAAAAAGCCCCTTTTGTGCTGGCTTATCTTGCGTCAAATGGCAAGCAATGGTTATCCGCTTTACAGCTAAAAGTTGGGGCTCCCCACAATCACTTTGGGGTTTACTTTACCAGACCTTGGAGTGGCCATGGAGGTTACCAGGCCTTTGGAAGGCTTTCCCTTCCGAAATGGACTTGAGGCCTAAGAAGCCATTTTACTGAAGTGAAAGGGAAGCTAACACTGATGGGGACCCTTCTGATTTTGATTTCATTCTTTCCTCCCCTGTGATTTTTGGGAGGGCTCTGGAGACTTTGGGACAAACACGACACAATATAGTGACTCCAGGAGTTTTCTGAGTTTGGCGGAGCTTCCTGAGAGTCAGCATGAGGGTGGGGGGGGGGGGGTTCTTGGAGACCCAGAAGTCTTGGGGAGGCAGGAGTTGCCTCTGGGAGAAACTGACGGCTCGTGAGATCCCGAAACAGCCACTTGAAAACAGGTTCAGGATGAACCAAATCTGCGTGCAGATGCAAACGGCCTAGCCACCCTGTCCAGGCCTGCTGCTTCAAGAGAGCCCATTCACACGGAAGGTTGGGGTTCTTTTTAGCAGGGAAGATGGTCAGTTTCTACCCATGATCTAAGCCTGCGTTTCTCAGGGAATTTAAGTCTTCAACACCCAGGCTTCCCCAGCTGATATGCAGGACATCTAAGCCCACCAATCCTGACACTGCTGAGGTTGTGAAACGCTGCTCTCGTCTAAATGGCCCATTTGTGCTCTGAACGGGTCCCCGTTGCTTCCCCCTAGGAATGGAACCCCACAGGGTGAGGATTGGGCTGAAAAGCAAAGGGGAGCTCAGTCACAACAGAAAAAGGCCTTGAGAACCTGGGGTTGCCCAACATTTAAGCTGTAACATGGAAACAGCCTGACATTTATACCAGCATCACAGAGATGACAGAAGCTCAAAGGGAGGCCTGTGCCACCAGCAAGAGGTTGATGTGTTTTGGTCTAACTGCTTAATCTTTGCATCTGCCTTTTTTTAAAAAAAATATTATGATTAATCAACAGAGTTGGCACAAGACACCTGGATACTTGAGGTGGAAAGTCCCCCAAAGACTATGGGTGCTGGCCCACGTTAACTAAGATGGGGTCCAGTCCATTGGGGGGTTGTGCTCCTACACAAGCCACGTTGACTCAAGGGTGGGAGCTGAGCCCAATCATGGCAAACTGTCCTTCTCTCCAAATGAGGCCTGCTGATTAGGATGATTCTGACGGTTCCTGCTTGGCCAGGATTCTCTACCCTGAATGGGAGTCAGGTTCAAAAATCGCTACCTGAGATGGTCACACCTCTTGCTTTGTGTCTGGACCAGCTCTGTGCTCCAAGGTATGTGTTGCAAGTCTTCACAGGAGGGAATGACCCAGAAACCCTGCCTCTTCCTTGAAGGACACTGTGTAAACAGGGGTAAATAAAGTATACACAATTGCTAGCAATTTGTCAATGAAATAAATTCATCACATGACACTGTCATGACAATCATATATAATATATCACTCCCACCCAGGAAGTCGGATAGCTATTATCCTAGGTGGAAATGTCACTTGTTGGATATTGGTTTTATTTGTTTTTTTCCTTTTTAAAGTTTATGGAAACAAAATACTGCAATGCTCATGTACAAAGTTGTCACACTGAAAGTCAGTATTAAATGGTGTAAAACCAACTGTAAATTTAAAAACCTTTTTGTTCCCTGATACAGATTATTCCGATTAATACATTTTTTGTTATCCATGGATAAAATTAACAATTAAATATAAATTTAAGAGGCATCGTTTTATAAAACACATTCAAACATCTTTTTTTTTTCAAAACACTTAATTTAACAACAACAAAAAAACCCAGTCATGATATTTTACTTTAAAAACAAAGTTTTTCAAATTATTTTGTTCTGAATATTTGTCTTTACATCTTCAACATGACATAGCAGTGTTCCTTAATATTTCTTTTAATTTAAATGAAATAAATTTCCCCTTCCTTTACATATTTCTCTGTACACAACATTCTCCCACTTGGGTGTCTGAAAGCCAGATAGCTATGCACAGACACAATTCAAAGTGTCTTGCTTTTACCTTTTTTTCCCAACTAAAATACATAGAACCATTTTGCCCCCCCGCCCCCAACCCTCATTCCAAGGAATATCCATTGATTTCAGGCTGTCTCCTAAGTAAACGGATTCAGGCATTCCTGTTCTTGACGCTTCGGTTGGGACACAGCATTTGAAAAGCCCATCGATCAGCAGCTCAGATCCATGCAACACCTTTAGCAACCAAAGAACGAAAAGATACAGGAAGGAAAGTCCTTCTCTTGGCTAAGATTCCTGTTCCTGCTGCTGCCGCCTCCTCCTTCCATGGAGAGGAACCACTTCCAGCCACACACACTGCAATTCAGCTACCAACTCTCCCCAAAAGAGCTTACGTTTAAAAACAAAAATCGAACCGAATCTCTGAGGTCTGACATTCGGTTTGTTCTTACAGCTGCAAAAATGCTGAACCTCCTGGGAAATTTGGATCTCAGTGCCTTCAATATTGCTGCCACGGAGCCCTTCCAAATCTTACGCAGGAAGCTCCACGGCCACGGAAGGACAGGAGCATTTCCTGGTAGGAGGATAACTAGAGTGCCTTCTTACAGTAAAATTAGCTGTTCAGGAGGGCAGGAGGGCTTCCCTCAACAAATGTCACGCTTGCACCATCTACCAAATCAGACTAAACGCTGCACGTCCCAAGCACTTCCCTCAGCTCTCAGCCCTGCTGACGCGGCTCCTACAACCACCGCATTAGCTAAGATTAAGGTGCCATTTGGAGGCACCCGCACTGCGTCCTGTGTGAGGAAGTTTCCGAAAAGCAAGGCCTTGTGTTTTCCATAGGAGGAATACACCGGATGGAATCGCTCCTTCCTTCCTTGCTTCTGCGGGATGCACAAATCGGCACTCAGATCATCATGACATCTGACTGGAATCAGATCAACTAAGGTTTGCCTTGGGCCACAGTTGTCATTCTGCAGTGCTCAAAGTACACGTCTCACCAGTGGTAGCTGCGTGCTTTATTTACTGTGCGCTTTTACTTTTGGATAAGCTTGCAGGAAGAAGCATGCAAGGGTGAGAGATAACACTGTTTGACAGTTGGGGTTATTTGGGGTTTGCTTTAGCAAAAAAATAAAATAAAAAAGGAGACTAGGTCCCAAAACAGAATATATTACATTCTTCCAATATTCTGGCCGTACAACCTTTTTTTGTTTCTGTAGTGAACCTAAACTGCCCGGGCTTTGGCATTTCACAGGATTACAGCCACCACCAAACCCAGGGCAGATGTTCTGCCTTTCTTTCTTTCTTTCTTTGGTTCACCTAAACATAAGGGGGAGACTAACCATGTAGCTTGGTCTTTCTAAACTAAGCCAGAACTCGTGGCTACACTCAGTGGCGTTAACTCCTGACGTAAATATGCCCACGGTGGCAGCCTGGTAGTGCGATCCTAAGGAAGCTTTTCTCGGAAAGAGGTCCAGCTGAATGCGGAAGGTCTGAGTGTCATACAGTCCTCCAAGCCAAAGGAGGACTCGTTTTTAAAGAACTGAGCACGAATTCTGATTTTTAAAAAAAGTAAAATAAAAATAATCAAGAGAGACATTCTTGCAGGCTTGACTCCAAAGACTGTGGAAGGGAGTCGCAGAGAAGAGAAATTCTCCCACAGACACAGCCGGAAGTGGCTACCCTCCACGGACCCGTTTCTGATCTGCCCCCTTCAAGCTCCCGGGGTCCTTCGGGCGGCCACTTGGGCCTCCTCTCTACTAGCCACCCTTGAGCAGCCAACCGACAACCCCCTGCAGAATTCGCTACCAACCACAACAAGATTCGTGAGCAGCTGGTCAGAGCGGACTGGCCTTAAAAATCCCCTAATGCCTCCCTGACAAATCTTCCCGCAGCTTTTTATTTTTCTTTTTAAAGGAACAATTTTTGGGGGCTACCTTTGGGGAGGAGAGGAGAGAGCCAGGAAAGCTAACTCACCTGTATCTACAAACTAAGCTGTTATAGTGAGGACATTAAATAGGAATAAATTCTTACAAGGGTTTCAACAGCTGCACGATATCAGAGCCAAGGTCAGTTCAGGGGAGGGGGGGAGGGGGAAAACCCACAACAACACAACACGAAGAGACTGGATGGGGCCCACGGAGGCACCCCGATACCCGTTAAACTGTTGGGCAGACAGCAATGCCATGCCTAGCTTCTCTCCTCCCCTTGGCAAGGGACCCTGGGGGGGGGGGGGAGGGGGGGGGGGGGGGCAATGCCACCTGCCTCTTGCTTTGGGGGTTGGCAACATGAAAACCGAGAGGCCTGCAGACAAAGGGGCTGTTTTACGACTCATGCGCTTAATAAATAGTATGATTATTATTGCAGGAAACCAAACTTGTACCACAGGCAATGAGTCTCTTCACTAAAGCCGTGAGGCATTTCAGTAGCAAGGCCAAAGGAGGGTCCCAGAGCAGGGGTCTCCAACCTTGGCCCCTTCAAGCCTGGAGGACTTCGACTCCCAGAATTCCCCAGGGCGCTTAGGTTGGAGACCCCTGACCCAGAGCACCCGAGAGTTGGGACCGTGCCCCCCACCACGCAGCTGCCTCTCTGCACCCCAAAACCCTTTTAAAGGGAATCAAACTTGACGCGCTGCGCAGCCTTACTGCCGTCAGGGTAAAGGAAAGCATCCGGATGGCAGCCCCCTTCCAAGGTCCCTACCCCCCAGCCCCCCTGCTCCTCCTCCTCCACCGCAGGGATGGCCGGGAGCAGGAGGGATCCTGGCCCTCTCTCTTCCCGCATTCAGGGCAAGGGGTCCATGATCCACTGCAGCCAGAACTGGGGAGCACTGAACAATCCAAAGTTTTGAAGAGGTGGCCCCGGTCCGAGACCAGCCAGCCGGATTTCACGCATTCCGAATCGTAATTTTTGTGCTGTTAATACAGCCGGGAAGGGGAAAGTCCAAAAAAGGGGGCGAAGTTTCCCTCTTCCCACTGCCACTCCCCCCTTTCCTTCTGAGGCCTGCAGTGTTCCGGGACCATCGCCTGCAACCTTCCAGCTGGTCATGGGAGCAAATCCTGCCCCCTGCAGGCCCTGATTTACCGTAAGAGGCTCTGCTGCTGCAGCAACAGTTTATATAAATAACGCCAAGGCTTGTGCAGGGTTTGGGTTAAGGTGGTGCAGGATTAAAAATAAATGGAATGTAGAACCTGCAAACAGGGTAAATTCGGCCTGCCTGAGCGCTGCTACATGCAGGCTAATTTGACCATCTTATTTGGGGGTTTTTCTAAAGGAAAAGCAGTTTTGCCAAATATAAAAGCATCTGATCCCCAAAGGATTCTGGTTTTTCTCCTTCTGAATGTTCCCACACAAAATATCGTGTAACTGCAGAGAGACGTTATAGATTGCGATCACCGCCTACAATAGGGAGAGCTTTTTTTTTTTTCCCCTCTCTTTTTAATCACCTGCGCCTCGGCTCTAAGTTCCAGAATTTAAAAATGCAAATATACAAAATAAAAAAAAATAAAAATACAATACAATACGACACAGTAAAATAGCGAGGGACTGCACAAGGGTCTGTTACGATCGCCGGGGAGGCTGAGGTCCAGCCGGGGCTATACGGCGGCCTCCGAATCGTCCTCCTGAGTCCCGCAGCTGCTGCCTTTCCGGAAGCCCTTCCAGCTGTAGCCCAGGAAGGTGGGGCTGACCGGCAGGAAGCTGAAGCACCGGTGCTTCCGGAGGAACTCCATGCCGAAGGGCAAGTCGTAGCTTTCCAGGCCTTCCAGGGATTTCCTGCCCTTGCCGGACCCCTTCTTCCACTTCTGGATCCCTCTTTCCTCCGGGCTTCCTGGATTTAGAAAATAAAGGGGGGGGCAAAAACAACAAGATGTGAACAAGGCAGACACAAGCCCACGGGGGGTGGGGTGGGCTTCCTCCCCGTGGTGCTATCCTACCGGTTCTGGCGTACCGGTAGCGCCAACGAGCAGCCAAGACCGAACTGGTTCTCTACACCGCTCTGCTCTTGGGGCCCACCCACCCACCCGCCTGGGCTCCCATGATGACCTTTATTCCCTGCTTTTGAAGCGCGGCTGCTTTGCGCGGCACAGCCGATCGTCGCGAGTCGGCTGCTGAAGCTGCAGGGGTTGCCGGAGGTGAGGAGGAAAGCCTCTGCGCATGCGCAAAGGGTGCCCGACCAAGCCACGCCCACCGAACCGGTGGTAGACCTCTTGGAGACCCACCCCTGCTGCTTCCTCCCGGGTGTGGCTGAAAGTGGGATGGGGGGATGAGCTGCTGGTCCTGCTCCCCACAATCATGTGCCAGCAGGGGGGTGTCTGCAAGGGGACACTCTCCGCCCAGGCCCAAAGCGGAAGCAGAACCGAGAAGCCGCCCTTCTCTCTGGTTGTCCCTTTCCCATAAGACAAGACACACACACACACAAACACCCCCAGCAACAGGGTGGCAGAGACCCTTGCCGCTCCTGACCTTTGGATGAACGACACCTTTGAATGACACCGCTTTCGCCTCCTTTGGACAGAAGCCAAAAGGCTCTGTGGGGTTTTTATTTCTAACTGGGGCAATTCCACCTCACGGCAGTTAGGAACCAAAAGCGGAAGGAAGGGGATGCCCAGCAGCCCAGGTAAAAAATCCGGCCACTCAACGATTGCAATAACTTCCTCGCGGCTCTAACTGCAAAAGCCCCGCTTCCCATTCCTGGGAGGACGCAGCAGAGACCCTCAGGAAGTGTCAAGGCCCCTGGGATGATCCCACCGCAGCCACGCCGGAAGCGGGTAAGACGGTTCGCTTCCTCGGATATCGAAGGGCAACAACTATCCCGTTGCAATTCTACGGCTCCGTGTAAGGGATATTTTATCATGGCTTTATCTTAATTTCACACATTATGTCCTATAACGGGGGGCCCCAACCTCCAGGCCAGGCCTGGTACTGGACCACGCAAGCAACGGGCAAGCGTAGACAGGCGGCTCCACTGCTTCGCTTACACAAGTGCCGCTTCAAAACACAGGAACTGCCCCAGCCGTACGACATGCCTTCATTTCTTCCGATGAAATGCCAGAATAACCTGGTGGGCGGAGACCCCTGCTAAGGAGCGCTGGGGGCAAAGGCAGGAAGCAGGGCAGAGAGGAGAGGGCAAACGGGACGACCTACCTGGAATGGTGTTGTCTAAAATAAACGCGACGCAGCCCCCAACAAACATAGCGGTGGTCAGCAAGACATTTAGGACTTGATCGATGCTGACGATCCCTGGAAGGGTGGAAGATGGGAAACGGCTTCGGTCAGAATCCCAGGAGGAGCAACATACAGGGAAAGGCAAGCTGGGACCAAGTGCCAAGACGGGGAACGAGCCGTTTCATAGCAACAGGGGGGCATCCAGTCCCCTCCTGCCCAGCCAAAGCTGCAGAGGGCGGTCGAGTCCCTGCTGAACTTCTTCCTATTGAAATGTCCGTTGAATCCCGGGCTTGCCCCGTAGCAGCCACTGTCCTCACCAGCCGTCAACTGTGAAGCACCTGCCCCTTAATTTCTCACCCGCCAGGAGAAACCATGGTATCTCCATTTGTTTCTACTGGGGAAGGGTGAGATCCCAGAGGATAAAAGATTGGAGCCTCCCTTTAAGATCTCTGGGGAAGGTTACAAGCGGGGAGTTTTCTTCAACGGCTCAGTACAAGAGAGGTGGAAGCTTGGTTGCCCCAGAGACGCTGGGAGGAGGATGGACTTCAGCCCATCTCTTGACGCTCAAAAGTCCGTTAACCAGCCAACCAATAGAATCGGTCAACCTGACCGAGAGGTGGGGCAGAATTCCCCTTTTGCTGAAGGGTAGAAGCCCTCCTGCCCCCAGCATCCTACCATTTCTCGGAAAGTCTGGCTCCTGCGAATCCCACGTAGAAATGCGGGAGGGCCCATGGAGTTCTAGGAAACCTATGGCATCCAGCCCACCCTGGCATTCTTCTGCAGGGCTGATGAAATTATGTTTTGCCCTTTTTTCAAGACAATGGAGCTATTTCCCCAGTCAACTGAAGGTAGGCCTATTGAAAATGCTGCCTCCCTCTGCCCTGTCTTTGGCCTGTCCTTCTCTTATTCTCATTGCCTCTCCTCATGTCTTGGTTTTCACTCTTTCTTGGCGTGGGACTGTTCCTCTCCCCCTTTTCCAATCTGTGTCTGTTTGTTTGTTTGTTGTTGTTTTGAGAGAGGGAGGGAGGGAGGGATGGAAAGTTGCCTATAGGCTCTGGTCTCCTATGTTCAGCTTCTTGAAAGAACATGGACAACCAGATCGGTCAGGTAATTATTAATTGGACTAGCTGAGACTTTTAAGCAGATGGCTAATTAATTTTCTAATTAATTAGAAAGATGCCTCCATGAGGAATTTGGAAAAAAAAAAAAAGAAGGCAATTTCTTATAGCCAAAACCAATGAGCTGTATCAGATGCCTCAAGCATTTGGAGGATGACAACTTCAGAAAGGCTAGACTAAACCAGTTTTCCCTGCAGGTCAAACAGGATGAAAAACAGAAAATATTTCAATTTGGAAGACAGCCCAGATTCAAAACTATTTTTTTTTTATATATTAAATGCGCTGCACAGGGAGGGAATTAGGGCTGATAAACTGGACTCAAGCTAAGCCAACTGGGGAGCCTTCCAGATCTCTGGAGCTCCAAAATCCTTAGTTGCAGAGAACACTCAGTTTGGGAAGTTGCTTTAAGTAGACCGAGCCAATCATAATCTGCATTTAAAAAGTGAATTAACTGATCGCCCCAGTTCCCAGCTGCAGTCTAGAGAGGAGCGTTATTCAACCTGGAAGATGCCTGGATTTCAATTCTCAAAATTCCACAGTCAGCATCTTCAAGCCATCAAGATTGAGAAACACCACTCTAGGGTGAGTACATGTTTCAGAATATTACTACAGGGACACCAGCTGTCCAATTTGACCATCTTTTTTTTTTTTTTTTTTTGCCATGGTCATTAAGCAAATCACAAAGTTGTTAAAGTGAACCCAACTTCCCCCATTGACTCTGCTTCTCAGAATCCAGCTGGAAAGGTTGGAAGTGGTGAACACGTGACCTGGGACACGGCAAGCCCTGTAAAGGCATGCTGGTTGCCAAACACCCAAATAACAATTACACGATCGTGGGAACACTGTGACGGTCCTAAGTGGGAGGATTGGTCCCTAACTCCCTGCCTTCAGTGTCTTCTAACTTTGAAGGATTGTTAAATTAACTGACTGTAAGTCGAATTCTTATTTTAATTGAAAGATATTTGAGCGTACATGCGTAGCTAAAAGTGTAGACAGATATAGATATATAGATACACGTCTACCTGTAAAAAGTGGGTTTTGTCGAAGATAACTTGGGAGCACCAGCCCAAAGAAGATAGAAAATCCAAGAACAAAAAGGTTCCGGGAGGAATTCAGATCAATGAATTGCAGGTTTGAAAGTCCAACAGCAGTGATCATCCCTAAATAAGAAAGGGACAGGATTTTCAAACTATTCATATTCGTACGACAGTCTGCAAGTTATTTTAAAGCATAGGCTTGAAAAATTGTCTACCTGGAAAATGGGAATCATAACACGACCTACTTTATACAACCGCAAAATGATACATGGACCAAAAGCCCGAAATCTTGATACAGCATTATATTTAAAGAAAAAATCTAAAGTACTTGGAGTATGTTAATCGTTATATACTAGAATATAAAGCCGCTCTGGGGATTATCTCGTAGGATTCAGAACTTTGTTTAAAGAAAACGCAGCTTCAACATTCCATGATTCACATGTACTCTTACAGTCACTGAGCTCTCAGCTAGCCTAGGTTGATCCTAAACCAGGGGTCCCCACACTTGACAACTTTAAGACTTGTGGACTTCAACTCCCAGAGTTCCTTCCTCTGGGAGTTGCAGTCCACAAGTCTTCAAGTTGCCAAGGTTGGAGACCCCTGTTCTGAACCAGAGTTTCTCAACCGTGGCAACTTTACACTTCAACTGCCTTCTGGTTGGGGAATTAGGAGCTGAAGTCTGCACATCTAACCATTGCCAAGACCCCCTCCTAAGAGAAGTGAATGAGGAAAGGAGTCTTAAGATGGTCCAGAATTCCTTCAAAAGGGGGATATTAAAAGCACAATTCACACAAACCCACCGAGTGATAATCACTTACCAAAGAGAGTACAAAACAAAGCTCCGAGCACTGGATCAGGAAGCGATGCAAACAGCGCACTGAATTTGCCAACTGTTCCAAGTAGCAGCATGAAAGCAGCTCCATACTGAATAACTCGTCGGCTTCCAACCTATGAAACATTCATGGGGGGAAGAATAAAAAAAAACAATATTCCAACAGCAACTGGCATCGGATTTGCACTCCATTACAGAGCTTGGAAATCTTTCATAGGAAATGATTAAAAATAAAAGCAAAATAAGGCACACTGTGGTGGCCATGGGGACCACAGTTGGAGATGAAGTGCCTTGGAAGCAGAGAAGACCTTCTGGCCTTATGGAAACATGACATCATTCTGGAATGATGTGCCATAAAACACTGTATGTAAAACACAGCCGTCTACTGGTTACTATTATCAAAACTTATTTTAAATGCTACTAACTACTTAAATGCTACTAATACTACTTAATGCTACTAACAGATGCTCAAATAACAATTGTACAATATTAGAAAGCTACTGGAAAACCTAAACCCTCAGGGAAAACATTTTCTTAAAGATACTGAACACTCCAATTAGTTTATACAAAAGTAAGGCTCCTTTTAAACTTTTGGGGTCCTTATTTCAGAACAGGAAGTACCAAAAATATATTTTCTACTATATATCTATGTTCATGTGAAATGTTTTTTTTTTTTTGCTTTATAATACAAGAAAAAGTATATAAATATGTTTACAAATTAAACACCTTATGCAGTTGCAAAACAGATTTGTGCAGCAAAGATAATATTGCCGTACACGTAATCAAATCTTAGCATTATTTACTGTTATGAATGTATTAATGTGGCAAACCAGATGCTACTAACAAATTTTTCTTTAGGGCTACAATCTGCTTCATACAAGAACCACAAAATATACAAGCTTTATCATGTCTTCGGCTTGCCAGAAGGCAACTAAAAACTGGCATGTGTCAGAGAATTGATGCAACAATGGCTTAATCAACTCCACTCCCTTCTGAGTTTGATTGATAAGACGCCAGTTGAAAAGCAGTCCAATTATTTTCTCTCTGCTTTCTCTTTTTAGTGGTTGGATTTAGCCTTAAGAAGTACAAGAAGAATGGAATGCAGTTTTGTTACACAAATACGGTGGTTAAACCACAATGTGCTCTGTTTATTTGGAGCTATCAACAATTAATATTTTTGACCTAGCTATATGATGCCACATGCCTGACATAGTAACACAATAACAAATACAAGCACTTCCCTGAATATCCATCCTCTCACTTAATATAAATATATTAATATAAATATAGGCCATGGGAACAGAAATCAGCCCAGGCCATGCTTTTTTCCCCTCAAACATTTTTCTCCTTTAATACTCAAAGAAACGCATCCAGTCGATGACAACGCTTGAATCTGGACCTCCAAAAGCAAAAACCCACCTAGGGGAGGGGGAAGGAGCAGTTCTAGGCCAACCTACATCCTAGTAGACCAAATCATGAGTAGAATGGACTTAGGACTGCACGAACTACACTTTAAAGCACAAACCCCTGTCTTACCTGTACTCAACCTACTTCTCCATGGCTTTGTTTTTAAAGTAAAAGGGAAGCCTTACTTTTTATGAAAAGTTGCAGGACTGCAAGGTAAAATGAAGTAGCCAGGTAGATTTGACGTCTCCACGTGGGGGATCTGTTGCGCTCTGAATTATATAACAGGTCCATAAAACCTGCATGGAATGGAGGCCCAGCCAGGTTTCAAGACACAAACCTGCCACATGAGATCTGGTTTGGCTCCATGGCCCTGTGGGGGTATCACTGGCTCTTTATTTTGGTTTCCTTTGCCTGAACAAGGGTTCTGAAACATTTACATAATCAAATTCCATTTAGCAAGGTGCTAATTAACTACTTTCCTTCTTAATAACCATTCCATTTCATATACCCTTGAGATCAAGCAGTTTATCAACCTTCCTCGATTACAACTGATGCCCAGAATTGATGAAGCCTTTTGTTTGTTTTTTTAACCGAATTTTCTGTAGCTTAACTAAATTCCAAAGGAATCTAATCAACAACGAAGGATCTTAAAATAGGCAAGCCACATTCCAAGGATATGCTGAAAACAAAAATTGTATTCATTCAACCGCCTGAGAAAGCGCTTCTCAATCTGAAGAACCCTTAGGCGAGAAACACCCATTGTGCACAGGGGGTTGCATGACTTCAGCCAACTGTAATCTGTTCAGGGAACCATGATTAAGTAACTTGGGCCTGAGCATGATATGAGAACAGTTCACATTCTCAAGAATACTGATAAGCCAGTGCAATGTGCTTGCTTAGTTCATGTCAAATACCTTTGTAATCCCCAGAACTCCAATGTTAGGACTAGAAGAAGTGGATCCATTTCCGGTGCCAAAAACTCCATCTAATACACAGGAAAGGCCCTCTATGAAAATGCCCCTGCGCCACAAAATGAAATAAAAATATTGAGATAAAGAAGTAACATAGAACATAACATAATAGGGTCAAAAGGACATTGATCTCACTTCAGAACAAATTAAACCCAAGTGAAAAGAATTTACCATATTTCTGTAAAGAATTGGATGCAGTTATGAAAGTAAAATGAGACCGACTGCTCAAACAGTAATAACACCTGTGCATTCCTAATGCGAGTAACAGCACTGAGCGTGATTTTTTAAATTGAAACCAGCGCCTTGCTGACTTTGGCATTTTAAGTGTTTGTGTTTTTTGTAAAGAGAGCTCTGAGAGATATTCTACGCCCGGATTCAATAGTTTAGGTTGGAGATGTTGGGCAGAAGGCCAGGCCACCTGTGGTGATGGTACAGAGCAGTAGCTTACACAGGAATGGTGGAAAACGTCAAGGGTCATTGTGTCATACCTGGTAGACAGGTAAAAAATAAGAACCCAGAAAATTTGGGGTTCAAGGACATATGATAAGATAAAGAATTTTAGACCAATATACAACTGGAACCATCTGGCCCTCATCTAGATCGTTTATGAAGATGGTGACGAGTACTGGGCCCAAGAAGGAACTTTGAGATACCCCACTGCATGCTTCTTCTCTCCGTGTAGAGGTAATTCCACTGAGGACTATACGCTGGGTGTGGTTGGTCAGCAAACTGTGAATCCATCTGGTGGACGGATTCTCCAAGCCCCTTTCCAGCCCTCTGATTCTGTGGTCTATGTTCTAGGTTTTTTTAAAAATATATATTCTTTTTTATTCCTTTTCTTTTGGTCCATTTCTCTCCTTTCCTTTTTATTCCTTTACTCTTTTCTCGCCACTTTTCTTTTACTTTATCTTTCCTTTAAGTGTTTTTAGTCTGTAAACATTTCTTCAACAAAAATTCATGAAAATGAAGAAAGACTGGGAAGGGACACAGGTGGATCGGCTGGTAGGCTGTACTGTGCTACAACTCAAGCATGCTTGCAGCTGAGGGCAAGGGAAGTACTAGAACATCGGTGGTTAAGATGGCCTACAGGCCAGGTGGAGGAGAATGGAAGAGACAAGACACATCATCCTTGACCTATTCAGCTCAAAGGTGCTACCCAGTTTTGTCTCTGCTGAAGTCCACAATAGTCAAGAGCTGGGTTTTGTTATGACTGACCCATAACTCCAGCCAGAACAGTTCAGCCAAACGGCAGAGTCCCACAACGTGCTCATTTTCTGCATTGACATGAAAATGTCACTGGCTGCCAATTTCAATGGTCCATGCACTTACTCTATGTCAATTTATTTTTAATCAGAAAATGAGTTTGATCTTGGCACTGGAATAATATTGGAACCTTCAAAGGAAATCAACATTTTATTCTGCTTTGACTCCAGAACAGTATAAAATAAAATAAAAAATAAAAGGATAAGTTGATTCCAGACACCCACCCCTGGAGGCTCACCTGTTTATTGCATGGATGGGTGGTGGAGGAGCACAAGATAATCTTGCACAGGCGTAATAATCACCAATGGATTCAATAATACTAGCCACCACAGCACTGAGCATCCCAATCACACCAGCAGCTGAAATGGTTGGTAATCCCCACTGAACTGTAAAGGCAAAGACATTCCATTTTATATTGATGTAGGGTCGATCCAATGATGAGCTTCCATCCAGGCTAACCGACGGTGGTCTAATTATCTGGCATCCGGATGCTTCTTTTCGGCATCTGTGGCTGGTATTTTCAGAGGGAAATCGATCTGCTCTGTAGCTCCCAGGCAACTGAGCAATAGCGTTCTTGTGTTTGGAACAGAACTAATCTTTCATTAGATCACGCCAATGAAATACTGAAAAGCTGGCCTACAATTGGTTCTTTATCCTGGAGAATTTGTAATTGGTCTGATTTGAAGAATTTCCAAAAGAATTGCTGTCTTCCACTCTGCTTTAGATTCTGCATGGGGTTCGTTAATTTATTTTGGTGTGATGTAAAGCTAGAAATCAAGCTTTGTTAATCCGCGGACTCTCTTGTCAATTTCTTGGGACTTCTATAAATCTCAATAGCTCCTCTACGTACTTGTGTCTGGTGGTCTGTCATGATTGCTAGTGTTTGTTGGTCTTTAAATTTAAAATCGTGCCTGTGATAAAGTAGCCACTTGAGTTCAGCTATTGCTGATATTTCAAGACGTCTCAGTCAACATCTTTTATGTTCTAGCTGAGCATCGATACTCTGTTTTATAGTCCCAATATATACCAGTCCACAACTACAAAGTATGTGATAAACTGATGATGAAAGTGGGTTTCTGCAAATTGTAGATGATCAAATCATTTCTTGAATTTTTCTTGTTAGGTTAGGAAGCGAGTCTGAAGGTTTACAAAGCTTGTTTTCCATCTTTATATCACAGTCTCATCTTTATCTTAGTCTCATGGAAGGGGAAAAAAAACCACAGTAAGGAGACGGAACAATCAAATGCAGCTCCTTTCAAGCTTCTTCAAGTCAGACCAATTACAAATTAACCTGGAGAAATCAGAAAGCCAATCCGAAGTTGGCTTTTCAGCCTTCCATTGGCGTGGTCCAATGAGAAGTTCTGCTACAAGCGTGCTGTCAGTTCCTGCTCAGCTGCCTGATAGCTGCACAGCCGATAGTGTTGCTTCTGAAGAAGGCATGCTGGTGAATCATCAGGACTGCAGACAATTAAAACGCAACCTATTAATCTTGAAATTCATCATCATTACATACAGACTTCCTCCTTTTTTTAAAAAGCAAAGCACTTTCAAGATGTAAAATACTTCTCTACATGACAGGATAGGTAATTTCTGTAATTTAGAGGCAAGGTAGAGACAATTATTCAGAATACTGGGAATCTAAAGTGTACTTTGCTACAGCAATGATTTATCCTAGGTCGTTAATCTCCACAATAAATTGGTGCCTTCAGGTTAGAAAGCCTTTCTATGAACAAATGTGGGCATGTTTATCATATATGGGCAGAAATCGGTAATATAGTAATACAAATAAGGGTTAAAATGCTGAACTTGTGTCAAGACCTTGATTCAAATCTTCACTCAGACAGGGAGTTCTGAGTGACTATCCAGCCAGAGAAAAGTGTGGATGAAAATGAAACAAATATATATCCAAAAATATTTAAGTATGTTCTCCTTCCCTCATGAATGGAACTGGGTATGTCAGAGCAGTTTGTATGGAAAGTCTCAGAACGTACAATTATACCAGCGGTCTCCAAACTTGGCAACTTGAAGACTCCCAGAATTCTCCCAGAATTCTCCAGCCAGCTGGGAGTTGAAGCCCACAAGTCTTAAAGTTGCCAAGTTTGGGGACCCCTGAATGACATTAATCCTTGAAAAAGCAAAATTAAATTGACTACCGGACCAGAGCCGGTCCATCCAAATTGGCATCTTCAGATTCACACAGGCAAAAAAAGGGACTAGAGTGACTGTAGAGAATGCAAAATATTCAGGGAGATCCCCCCTCCTGAATGGTTGCTCGGTTCACTTACAGGGATATGGGATCTTGAACCAGGGAGCTACCAGGAGAACTCCTTGCCTGGCGTCAGTGCGAGCGTAGAATCCATACTTAGTGTTGTCAGGCGGAAAGACGTCCGTCACAGTGAAGATGAAGCATAGCAGCCAAGAAACCAGGATAGCTAGAATGATCTGTAAGGGGGACAGGAAGGCACGTAAAATAAAGCAAGCAAAGAGAGCCAGTTTGGGCTACTGGCAAAGACATCAGGCTAGAAAGCAGGGGATGGGAGTTCTAGTCCCACCTGGTGCATGAAAGCCAGCTGGGTGACCTGGGACCAGAACCTCTCTCTCAGCCCAACACACCTCACAGGGTTGTTGTTGTGGGGGAAATAGGAAGGTGAGCTGAATACGTTCGCTGCCTTGAGTTATTTGTAAAAGTAATAAAGGTGGGATGCAAATAAATAAATGAAATAAAAATGAGGACATGCTTTGGGGGCAAAGATTTTTGTGTTTCACACAGCACAATTATTTTCAGATGAAAAGAAAAACTTTTGTCATTTTGTTGAATATTCCACTTTAAATGGGGTCTCCCCATACAATTTCCCAAACTGGGAAAATTTCCAAGTAAGTAGTTACTCATATTACACACGGGGCACCCAGATCAGAAAAAAAAAAGTCAGTTGATCACTGACTGCAAATGAGAAGTGATTCTTTAAAAAAAAATGCTAGAGCTTAATCAACAGATGCTCTGAACCCTCATCAAAGATTTCAAAGGAAAAGGTAATCGTGGGACCACACATCAAAGAGCCACTGAATTTAACACAGTCACTCTTGCCAAGGAAAAACTCATGGTGTTTCCAGATTACGGATATCCCATTAGTTTTCAGCATCTAATAAGCAGAGCTGCAGAGAGTTCAAGAGAACAGAAACTAATTGTGATTGTTAGGTCTTAAGAGTATTTGGGTTAGCTGGAAGGCAAGCAGATGTCTCAGAATATGGCAGGATTTCTCTAGCGGCCTCCAGGATTGTTCAGGTCTGTAATGAGGCTATTTCAGACCTGAGAGATCACTGCTCTGTTAAAGATACCAAGAATCCTGAATGCCTTCTTTGAAGTAGCCTTGCTCTCTGGGGATGCTTTTCATTTGAAATTTGGGAGACGCCGGCTATATAACTTATTTTACACATTGCTGAAAACTCACCTCTTCATCCCAGCCTTCCTGCGCTAAACGTTCAAAGATTGATTGAAAGGTGATGTGTGTGTATGTGTCTTTCCTTTCCCAATCACCTTTTTAATGAATACATTTTAATTGGTAATTTGTTATGCACTTAAAGTTGTTGTTTAAAAGTATTTTTATTCTACATTATTGCTATTTTTATTGTAAACCGCTTAGAAATATTCTGGCATTGGAAGCAGGGTATTTGCTGGTTTGCTAGTTTACCAATATTTATTTTTTCACAGTTACTATGAGGCTTACCATGTCGGTCTTTTAGAGAAGAATAAACAGGAAATTACAGCCTCTTCTACATTTGAAAACAACACACACACACACACACACACACACACACACAAACAAACAAAACAGCTTCTGTACTGATAATAATCAACATAAAGATTACTTACAGGAAACATTTTAAAAAGCTGCAAGCGATAGGCTGTCCATCCTTTCTTGGACTTGTAAATGGGTAATGGGAATTTGACATTTCGGGCATACTGAGAAAACAACAGCACTAAGAAAATAGTCCTGAAAAGATGAAAAAGAGCCAATTTATTCCATCAGCATTTCCAGAGATTTAATAGATTAAAAAAATCAGTTAAAATAAATTCCTCTCTACCTCAATAGGACTGCAAAGGACCTAATTTTTTTCCAGATTAATTAAAGGTTTGGGGCAAAAGGTAGGAGGGCTTGGGCCCTGATTTCATCGGCTGTGTTTGTAATGTGTTTTAATCTGCTTTTGTTAATTGCTTTGACTCCTGAAAAGGTTCAATAAATCAAGTAAATTAAATATATTGGCGGTCCACATGACCTCTGTAGTCAATACAGACAAAAAGTATTTCGTCTACACTTCACCATCATTTACTGTGGTGCATTTTAATTATAACGGTTAATCGATTGCTAATTTTGATTCATCCAAGTGCTTTTGCACCGTCAACATTTGCCTTTCTCACATCCGTCTCGATTTTGTGATTTCTTTCTGGAAAGGTCTTCGTAATGTGCATTTAGCTGGAGGAATCGTTCAAGTCAAAAGAGTGACATTTGTGTCCTAGAGCTCCATGGCATTGACCCTGATGGCAAATAAGGCCGTCTCAAACTCACTGGCCTCAGGCAAAGAAGGCTGGCCTCCAGAAATGGCTGAGGCTCCATCGCTGGAGATTTCCAGAAGAGAAAGGACAACCACTTGCCTGGCAGGGCAGGGCGTCTCCAGCTTGAGTAGGAGGTTGGCAACTTTAAGACTTGTGGACTTCAACTCCCAGAGTTCCTCAGCCAGCAAAGCATAAAGTTGCCACGGTTGGAGACCCCTGGACTAAAGAATGCCAAGGTCCCTTACAACTCTCTTGTTCTACATCTAAGTGTTTTCCTCTGATGCAAAAGGGATTGAAGCCCCACAATCCCCAGGTTAGGTTTTGTTATTACACGTTCTCACGCATGAGCAACAAATATCCATCCAATTATCAGGAGGAGCTACACAAAGTGTATATTGTTGAAGCAGCACCAGCCCTACTGCGCACCAAGTGACATTTGGAATGCCCTTTGTGTGCCAGGAAGAGGTGAACACAAATATTATCAAAGGCGACCCTTATGTAACAGTTATCCTAAGATAACTTTAGCAGCCAAGATTCAGGCTCTCCTCTCTTGACATGAAATGCTGCATTTTGGTGGGACCTCTGGAGGCCGTTGTTGTTGTTTTTTTTTGCTGTCTTTCAGTTTGCATCATTATCTCCTGTGATACTGTTGTGTAATTTCCCCCCCCCCCAAAGCAATTTAAAAGTAGAGTATTGGCGTCAAACCACGGATGACCTATTTACGGAATACACCATTTTTGGAGACTGGGCTAAGCGGGTAAAAACTGATAATGACATATTGATTGAAAATGACATTCTCCTGCTCAAGGTAGCAAGTCAACCTTGAAGCTGGCCTGGCTGAGGCCATCTTGAGACTTCAGCGCTGACACACAGGAGAAGGGGGCTAGGGAGGGGGGAATAGAGAGGGTTGGGATGTTGTAGTCAAAACAAAATGCTTTCTTGTGGGAACCAAGGACGTTCCTGCAGGGGCTCGGAAGGAGGGGTCTGGAGTCACTTAGCAACTGGACAGTATCCCGATTGGACCGTGTGATTGTTTTGAGAAAGTGATAAACGTTCACTTTTAATTAGGGGAAAACCGTGGGAATATTCAGAGTCGGTTTTCACCAGCCTGTGCCAATATGATATATCCAATAAACCTATTCTTCGAGGAAATTGCCTGCCTCAGAGTTTTTGTTTGCTACGGGTATGTTACTTGGAACCCTGACATTAAACCGGCTCTTCTAAACTTCATGCTCCAACCAGAGCCGTTATTCAGGATCCTGAGCCCTGAGGCCGCTTACCCAGGCAGAGGAAAGACTCAGGGAAGATTGACAGTGAGACCTGTACAATATTGACAGCCGGGTGAGCGGGAATACTTACAGCATGGCTATGCCCCAGTGTTTGCCTGCTCTCTCGCCTGCAGCCTGGAACCCAGAGAGCCCAATGAGAGCTACCGTGGGTGTAATAGTCAGAGGTCCAATGTATCGCAAGAGTGCTCCGGGCAGGCCCAGGAACCCAATCACCACTTCTATCAAAGAAGACATGATAATAGCACCTTGGATCTGAACACAGAGAAAAGAGAGAAGCCTTCATTAGATTCCTCCCCTTCTTTCCATTTGCTTGTTTTCAACAGAGAAGGTTTTTTTTTTCTATTTCTGCAGAGATTTTTGGAATGGGTTATGAACTGCAAGTCAAAAAAGGCAAGTGACTAGGCAGAAGTGGGCAATGGCATGTGTTATGCGATGGAGTGCTTAAGCAGCAAGCTTCCCAGACTATACGAACACCTGAGGTTCAGCGGTGCGTGCTCTGTTATCATCAGAAGATGATTCAACCGAAGAATTGCAGACCTCATCTGCTTCTTGCTGCTTAAGCACAAAGCTTAGGTGGTTACACACCACAGGGTCATTAGACCAGTCTGGCAGTTGTGTCAGTAGCCACATCACACGGTCATACAGGAAGACCTGGGTTCCAAGCTAACCTTTCAAGTGCTCACATCGAACCGGCAAGGGCTGGCGATGCCACGAAGGTGATGCTCTTAGGTCCTAGGGGGGCAGAGTGCATGATGCATTTGGTCACCCGTGCTCTTTAGAAGCTGGCATAGAGCAGCGCAGTGGTCTCAGGAGACTGCCAGCCCGCCTTGGCTGCAGGCCTCTTGACGGGATGGAGCTACGGTTTGAAGATGGGGAAGAGAGAGGGGATGTTTTAAATTGAGGAACAATCGGTAGCCCAAAACAGTGGGATTGGGGGGGGGGGGGAGTTCCACGTCCCAGGTGTGCACTGGATCTATATTTTATTATTATTATTATTAATTGTTCTAGATTCTTAAGGACCAAGAACGCCTAAAATATTGGGAGTTCAGGAGGGAAAGAAGTAGAGCAGCAAGGCCAACAAATAATCTGTAGAAGGCAAAGCAGTGCTTCTAACTCTGCGTGGCTCTGCCTGGAGCAAAAACACAAGTAAGGCCGTGTAGATTACACTCCCTGCAATAAGCCTTTCACTGCACAGCTACATGAAGGAGCCAGCAGCCTCTTAACCGTTACTTTGCTATTATTAGGGATGAGAAGCCCTTGCATGCCATGAAACAGAGAGTAACCATCACTCCTTAGCATGACAGCACATCCTTAGCAACCATGGACTGAATCTCATGCAGTTGGGAACTTTGCGATCACAAAGAAAAGGACAGACAAGGTTCAACTCCGCACTTGAAGGGATTGTAGGGAATCAGAGAGAGAGACAGAGAGACAGAGAGAGTGCCCAACCAACAGCCCAGCGCTGAATGGATTATGCACGTTTACCTCTCGTATTCTGGGGTACCAGATATGTTCTGTGTGCAGCAGCTCCGACGTTCCATTTGTAGCCATTACAGCTTGGAAGGTAAAAAGAAACACCTCTTGTTATGGCAAAATAAATGGCTTTAATATACATTAAAACCTAGCTTCTTCTTCTACTGGATCCCTTCTGCCCCAGATCGTATATGCATAGCACATTTTATATATAGAAAAATCCATTCTGCTGGTCAGTTTAACTATCTCCCCACAGCCACTGAAAAAAACCCTATGGAATTGAAATGCCTTTGCAAGATGGTGGCAATTAAAGCCGTATCACGTACTGATAAAATGTACTTTTTATAAAAGTGTTAGGAACACATTTATTGTCCTGCTTATTCTCAGGTAGAGCAAAAAAACAACAACCCATCTCTTCTCTGTTTTTTTAAAAGTAGTAACTGTAAATACAGATAGTTTTTTGTTCCCACATTACAGTCACAAATAATATACCCAAACTAACTGCTAGCAAACCACATTGTGCCCTGTATAATGTTTTATGAATTGTCTTATATAAGATTGTGAATTGCCCTTATTTTTTTGTGAACTGTACAACATCTCTTCCTGGGTCTTGTTTGATCTTTTTAACCCGTTCACTCCTGAGTTTTGACTGAAAGGTTAGTTGACCAAATTCTAATAAACAACAGGGAAATATATTTTGCAAGGGGGAGGGGTTGCGGACGGGACAAGGGAGGAGCAAATCCAAAACGATGACCACCCTCTGCTTACCCAAGCTTTCATAGAAAGCCTCCAACAATTGAGTTTGAGAAATCTATCTGTTTAGCCAGGGGAGACTCCATCATTCCATGAGTTAGGAAGAAAGATCAAGGGTGAAGTTGTGAGTTTATGTTTAGCCAACTCTAAGTGCCTGACCCCCCCTCCCCCTAAGCCCAATTTTTCCTTCCACCAATTGAGTTTGTCTGTTTGGCTGCCTTCTTCTCAATCCACCACTACAGTCTGACTCATGGTAAGCAAAAATGGCCCAAGGCGGCAGGATTTATAGCATCCATACATTGTGCCGCTACTACAACTGGTTTTTATCCCAGTGGGCAACTCCCAGTGGGCACCAAGAGGCAAAGATTCACTTGGATGATCTGGAGGATAATTTCACAGCATAGATGTGATTTGGGCATGTTATGTCACAAAAATGTCGCTTCTTAATTTGGCTGGCTAGACTGTAATAACAGCTCCTGTCTGACGCCTCCTGTTTATAGAGGATGGCTTCTAAGGCAGAACAAGAGGTCTCTTTATAAACAAAATGTTCTCTACTTACCCAACTAGCTCCCACAAAGTTTCTAGCTTTTTCTGAAGGCAAAGGGCAAAGTCATCCTCCTGATTTATTAAAAACTGTGGTCACATTATTTGACCTTCTACCATACCCTGAATTTCTAGGGGGGGGGGGGGGAGAAAAGCTGTTTCTGAATCCAGAAATCTTTACCGATGCAGTTATAAGAAATACACGTTTTAGGCACTAGGGCTGTTCATCATACTAAGCACTATTTATGAAAGAAGTTGCAACCAGTCACATTTATTATTTAACTGTCATGTACTGATAGTTAGGGTTGTAAATACACCAAATGCCAAAACTAAATGGACTTCATTACAGCTAAACACAATATGTGAACGTGCCCTTAATTTTTTGACCTTAACTCTGAAAGCCTCTTTTCCCAGAAATTTGGAAATTCGTGCATGTTCACAGCTCCTCATTTGGAAAAGAGTTTGGGGCACTGCCAAAATACCAGGGCCTATCTCAAGTAAACTATGATTATGGCTATACATGCCATTGCCTATTGGCAGCTGAACAAAATAGCTCAGTTCTGAAAATTAGTAACACATTTCCCTCTTATTTAATATTTCACACCACTCATGATATTCTAGATGCAAAATGAGGAAATGTCTAATTTGAAAAAAAAAATCAAATTCCTGTTCCGCTGCTTTTATTAAATGTGTTTTATCTTTGGAAAATGAAAACCAAAATTTAATATAAGTTTAATGGCTAACACATTTATTTAAAGGGATTCTTTTTTGCTCATAATGCGATAACAACACAGAATCTTCTTTGATATTTCTGGGAACCAGAATATTAATTTGATTCCAAAAATGCTGTACTTCAAAGCAAAGTACCCTCCGGCATGATGCTTTGAGTCACTGGGATTGATCAATCCGACATCTAATTAACAGATTACTTTTTCTTCATGCATGCCAATTATTTGGGGAATACCTTATTGCTATTTTATAAGGGCTTGTCATCCTCTGAAATGCTTTTACTTATATATTCTGCACTTAGGTTGGGGAAGCAGTCCAGCTAAACTGCCTTTATATCATCAAAATCATCCACCAAATTCCGATTACCAAAACGTGGGTAAGACTTATCTGGCAATAATTAATAGGAAACTAAATTTGCAAAATTATTTGCTTTCATAGTTAGCTAGTGCTAATTATGCTCAAAAGAAAGCCATCTTAAATAATTGTTTATAAAACCTGCTTCACTAATCATTGTTCATAAAGCTTGGTGCAATTTATTTAAAGCTCACCCAGTAGGTGAAGCAATAACGAAAACTAAGCTTTTCTTTTCTTCTCCTAGTTTATGAAGAGTGGCATGTATATATCCTATTCTATGGAATGCAAATTAGATTTCCCGTATTCTCCATTCCTGAATCCTTGGCACTCAGCTCAGCTAAATCCAGGAAGCTCTGAGGGCCCCACCCCCCAAAATCCCCAACACCCTGCCTGGGAACACATCCTGTTCCTGCTGTTCCTCCTTGGCGATTTATTGCCTCTGAACTTGAAGGTGTTGCAAAATCATCTAGCAGCCTCAATATGTAAATTGGCCCCTGAGGTCCCCCCCCCCCCCCACTTTCAGAATCTCCTCCCAAGAGCAATTTCAATGAAATTCTTGTGGGAAGAATGGGGGATGCTTGTGTTGCCGAAACTGGAGGAGAACCGAAGGGGAACTTCCCCTGAAATTTGCATCAAAAAACCAATTTTTTTCCCCTGTCTTTCCTTCAGGCATCTCCTACAGAATTAAAACCATCCTGGTTGTTCTGTAAAGACTCCCTCGTGACTGTTACAAATCAGAGTCAGCCTTTAAAAAAAAAAAGTTTCCCTCCATTTCGGCTCTTGCCCTGAACGACCAAAGGCCCGGAAGGAAAGGATGGTTGCTCACCTGTGTTATTACACTTCCATTTGTCCAGAGAGAGGATGGCTCTAGCGGGAGCCAAGAATGCAAAAGCACTGGCCTGAAACAAGGGTAACCTGAAAGAGGCAAAAATCCACATTTTACAACACTGCCACAGCACGCAGGAAGAGTCACCTGTTTCATGTTATCGTTACTAGTTATCTCCCCAAATCTAATCTATCTAAGAATTTATTGCAGTGCCCATGAATAAGGATACCAAGTAATATAAGCAGTTAAAAATTAGTGTTACTCTATAGTTGACCAAATCACAAAACCAATAAAGAGAACAAGGAACAGAGTTGACATCAAGCAATGTGTGGACTCATTTGATGGTTTCTGAAAAGTCATAAAGACCTTTAGGACAACAACGTTCATCAATGAAACAGAAATATTCTAGAAACCTCCCTCTTTATCTAAACCAGGGTTCTCCAAACTGGGCAGCCTTTAGACTGGTGGACTTCAACTCCCAGGATTTCCCAGCCAGCATTGAGAGTCGAACAATTCTGGGAGTTGAAATCCACAAGTCTTAACGCTGCCCAGTTTGGAGAGCCCTGATTTAAACAATAAAGGTGAATGGGACAGAGAGTCATAGTATTTTACTACAAATCACTCCAAGGGCAAAAACTATTTCTTAGTTTTAATCTGTGGAATTCTATATACCTTAGTCCTGGACAGTTTTGGGATTACCTTTTTTCCTGCATTCTTCTAGATGTTAGTAAGGCTGTCTGGCTAACTCTGGTAAGGCAGAGAGCATACAGAGAAAGCAAAGCTGGCAATACATTTCTCTTAACCTGTCTGGCTTTTCTTATATATCCAGTGTCTTAAAATGACAAGACCCACCCTTACAGGGATCCTTCCTTCCACAAGAATCCACAGAAACTGCCCCAATGGTGCACAAGGTAGAATCCTTTACTCCACTGGTTTGCTTTCTTTATGACTCAATTTGTTCTGGGATGGCAGATTAGAATCAAGGTTTATTAGCCAATAAATCATACAATCAGCAGAAATCAAAGGGCATGATTCATTCCCTTTGGGGGAAATTGGCAGCTCCCACAAGGTTACAGCTTAAGATCCTTGGCACTGGAATGCCAAGGATACACCACCATGTTGGGAAGCCTAATTTTCTCTAGCATCAATACTATAGCCAAATTTTGTCCAGCTGCAGTGAAAATGAGGCTACAACTGACACACATTCCTCAGTTTTGTAGCTTAAATGTATGATGTTCACTTTACTATTTGTTTATTTGATTATTTTGGATACAGTTGATCTTCCTTCATAACTATAACAGTTTTTTGGAGGGGCAAAATCATTTCACTTAACAAACAAGATGGGTGAGAGACATTACCTGTTTGCCTTTCACATTAAAATGCTTTGCAAACGCTCATAATAGTAAAAAAAAAAAAAAGGAGTGCATCCGGAATGATCAAATAACTAAATAACTGTGGTGTAATCACTGGATCATTACAGGAACATCTACAAAGAAAGAAAGCTCCACTTTTTACAAGCAGACTTCCCCTTCTTGTAGGATCCCTCCCTAAAATGATTGATTTCAGCCCGCTTCAAACTTGGCAACTTTAGGATGTGTGGATCATTCAAGCCTAAGACTTCTTCAGCCAGTATGCAGTCAATATTTTGAAAATAATTGCAAAGGATTTGCAAAACCAGGCTGTTCTTCCTTGAAGGATAATTCCCCAAATTATTCCAGAATAATGAATTTGGTGGCAAACCAGACAGAATCTGCTTAACAAAATAATTCCAAGAGAAGCCATCCGATTTCTGTTCCTACTTATGACAGGTGTCCTCTTTTGTACATTTCTGGTACTAAGGAATAGAGAGGCAGTAGATGCTTAGCAGAACCTGCTTAGTTCTTTTTAGGAACAGCTCGATGAACTAGAGAGGGCTTCGCTTGGCACACCTGTCCTTATGAGGAGACTCCTAGTTATCAGTAGCTGGTAATGGTTTAGGGGCTGAAAAGCAAAAAGGATGCTTTCTTTTCTGGCATCCATTTTCACGAAGACGTTCCGTATAGCACTTTTACCCCGCTTCTCACTGCTTTACAGCCCTCTCTGTGCAGTTTACAAGGATCAGCCTTTGGCTGCCAACAATTGGGGTCCTCACTGGGTCCATTTCTTAACAATCTTTATTGGCTTTCTGGTTTTTGTACCATCACATTGTGGGTTGATAAAAAGGACCAAGCCATAAACCTTATGAGCAAGCAAAAATACTCAAATTTGTTTCTTTCATAAGAGCCTCTTTTTCAGACAGCCTGTCCTAATTCAGGAGACTTAGAAAGATATTGAACGAATCCTGGAGGTTTTCTTTGGGCTGGTATCCTTCAATAATCTTCATTAGTTTATTTAAACTGACCTGCCTTTCTTATCCTACTGAGTCACCAATTCCCCACCCGATGTTCTCTTTTGTAGGTCAATATACTCAATATTTTTTGAAAGAAAGACTTTGAAATGAAATCATACTTGGAGGGGCTTGACCTAAAGCAAAAGATGACTGTGTTAATTCTTTTGTTATGTTTCCATGTTGATTTTTAATATCCTGCCTAGAATAAATATAATATAGATGTAGGTAATTAACATGCTTTGGCCCTTGCGAGAAGGTGAAAAGTGTACGGAGTTTTTTTCTACAGTAACAAAAGACTATAACTGGATGGAAAATTCTATGCTCTTAATACTAAAAGAAATCAAACACCTTATTTTGCTTTGATCGTTAATACCTAATGCCATAGATAATAGAAAAACGAGAAAAGTTAAATATATGTTTTAAAATATGTAAGTCTCCCACTAAAAGACCATTTTACACACTGTGTGTAGTTCTGCCTGTTCCCAATTTTGAGCCCAAATCAACTCCAGCAACCATGCAGAGAAATGTTGGTTAGGTAGGAAATAGGGTATCAATTGTCGCTGTTCTTTGGGGGGGCTGCCTATGGGCTGCAAAAGTGCTGGCAGATCTTGGTTGGCCCGGCACATTTTTCATACAGAACAACAAGAGTTGGAAGGGACCTTGGAGATCTTCTAGTCCCACCCCTTGCTCAAGCAGTATACCGCTCCCTTCAAATGGCTGGTCCAATCCCTTCTTGAAAGCCTCCCGTGATGGATGGAGCACCCACAACTTCTGTTCCCCTGATCAACTGTTCTGACAGGAAATTTCTCCTTAGTTCCCGATTGCTTCTCTCCTGGATTCCTTTCCACCCTTGTTTCTTTTCTTGCCTCCTGGTGTTTTGGAGGATAGCTTGACTCCCTCTTCTCTGGGGCAGCCCCTGAGATCTCGGAAGACTGCTATCATGTCAGCCCCTGGTCCTTCTTTTCCCCAGACCTGACATACCAAATTCATGCAAACCATTCTTCATATGTTTTAGCCTCCAGCCCCCTAATCATTCTTCTTGCTCTTCTCTTCACTCTTTCCAGAGTCTCAACATTTTTTTTATATATATATTGTGATGACCAAAACTGGATGCAGTATTCCAAGGATGATCTTACTAAGATTTTATAAAGCGGTACTAATACTTCACATGACCTTGATACTGTCCCTCTGTTAATGCAACCTAGGATTGTGTTGGCTTTCAGAAGATGAAATGTTCAGCCCTGACAAGGTCAGCTCCACCATTATCCAAAAGGAGATGTAAATCATACCAAGTGTGTTTAATTAGTACATGATTGCTCCTTCTAACCATGGCAGGACACAGCTTCTAGAGAACCGATGCACAAAGTTGGATGTCAATGAAATGTTATTACTTTTCACCCCATAGCACATTGCCAGCCTCAGATAATATACAGGCAGTCCTTGACTTACAACCATAATTGAGCCAGTAACTTTGCTGGGAGCGATGATGGTCTTTAAGTGGGTCATCGTGTGACTGCACCCAATTTTTCAATCTTTTTTTGCGGCTGTTGTTAAGCACACCCACTATGGGTTATGAGGTGGTTTTTCAGGGAAGTAAGTGCCTGTAAGAGTAATGTATCCTATTATCTGTGCTGAAAGAACGCTTGGCCATCCCTCTGATCACTGCATGGAAATGAACGGTGCCTGGAGCATCAAAGTGTCTTCAGTCCTTCTAATCTCTGCTGGAAGGACTTCAGACGCCAGGAATAAGAAACGTATCTGGCTGAGAACTTGGGGAGCAGCTGCTAATTAGAGGGGACAATTTAGGCACTACTTCAATTCCCTTGGTATAATTTCAGTAATGTTTTTCATTTTATTATCACACTCAAATATGACTAATGTCTTTAGTTTTGCATATGATCTGCCTGTTTCCTGAATGATTTAATGGTTACTAATTTATTATGCTTTGAATGAATGCTACTTGGCAAGTGGAAATTTTGAAATATAAATGAGATAACTTTTCTTTTTAAATTTGTTTACATAAGCTAAATAATTCCATCATCGTTCTGAAGGAGCTTTCTGAACATTCATTCCTCGTAGTTAGTCCCAATCTGCCAGAGAAGATAGACTTTAACTCCTATCATCTGTAGGCCAGACAAGGAATAAAGGATGTAAACTGAACAAGGAGAGATTCAACCTGGAAATAAGGAGAAATTTTCTGACAGTGAGAACAATCAACCAATGAAACAGAAGTTGCCCTCGGCAGTTGTGGGAGCTTCATCACTTGAGACTTTCAAGAAGAGACTGGAGTGCCCTCTGTCAGAAATGGTGTAGGGTCTCCCGCTTGTAGTTTGGACTAGGTGACCTACAAGGTCCCTTCCAACTCTGATTATCTGTTATCTGTTATCTTTGCCAGCATGTTATTATCTTTTATATATACCGTATACCTATCCTTTCTGTAGCAATTAAAGGAGGTTTACGCAGACCTCCCCTTTACTTCAACTCCCACAACCACCCTAGGAGAGGAGCCTAATCGAAAGGCATTCTTTGAGCCTCACAGTTGAAAAATGCCTTGAAGTTGGTTCTCTCCAGGCAAAGTATTATGACTTCAATCAAGATATAACGCTGTCCATCATTACTGCCTGGAGTTCATGGGGAAAGTTATAAGCAGTTAACACATCACCAAAAAGTAACTCACCTGCACCCAAATGTTGTTTGCAACAAAGTTGTGATTCCAACACAGAAAAATATGGTCCCGATCAACTGGCTGGTGGCCCACTGATCAAATCCAACACACATTGCATCTGCTAGCAAGAAGGGCACCGCTATGGTGCCACTGAAACAGGTCAGGTAATGCTGCAAAGAACAAAGGGTTGTTTTTTAATCAGGTATGTGTATGCATGTACCTTTGTAAATTGCTTTCCCTACGTTTGCAATACCATTATGATTAAACCAAGACAATAATAATTCTGTAGGAATAGTTTTATCCATTAGGAAATGATCATTATCTTAATAAAGAAACTCACTTTGACGATCTTGGTTAAAGATTAGGAAACGGCAGTGCAAATCAAAAACTAGCATTATGCCATCAAGTTCCCTAATACTAACTAAATTCTATTGGGGAGGGTCCAGAGACCACAGCTCAGTTACGGATTCAGACTCTTTGTGCTGAAGAATCAAAATCTCATACCTATCAAAATGGTCTCAGGACAGCAGAGTTTGTCAGAAGTAACCCATTTAGATTGGATGGATCAAAAGTGTTGCCTTCATATGAAGCAGTTTCCAGTCTGCATATGGATATTGCACGAAACATGAAAAGCCCCCATTTTATTCTCTTGAATTCTCCTCACAAGGACAACCACCTCTGTGGGCTCCATTTCCACGGCCAAGCCAGGCCACTCACCGCTGGACAGCTGGTCAATGCACTAGGCGTCTTGGCTCAGCTCTGCACTCAAGCGGCTTTCAAAATTACAGAAAATTTAACATTGGCCAACGTAGGCTGGCATAAATCAGCTCCGGCATATCACTGCATAACCTCCCACTAACTTCCAGAGTCTAAGATCCATAGGAAGCTGAGCTGTACACTAAAAATAGAAAGATTTGCTCGAGGAGGGTTGATTTAACATGTTCCTATATCGCTCCTCCACTCTGTTCAAGAACTGGGCAGGAGAATATTCTCATGGAATGCATCCAGGCTGACAGCCTCCCTTCCACCCTGTTGCTCTTCAGGGCATCCAGACAAATCTCCTCCGTTAGACGAGAAGCATCCTGGCTGCAAAACGGTAAAGGGTGCACAACCTGGGGACCCGAGTGAAGTTCCCAAGTCAAAAAAATGTAGGAGGCACATTGTACATTCCTAAACAATTTTGTAATTTAGGCCCCCTTGCAAATGTTTTGTGTGGTTTTTTTTAAAATAACCTGATGAGCCTTCATATAGTGATGCAGAAATGATTCGTTCAAGAAGAAAATACGATGGTCAGAAACACCACCCCCTTGCTCTGATAGACCCCACACATTTCTGTTCAGAGCAACAGAGGAGGAAACCAGGAATAAATTATCTGCGGTTTCTTGCTGCCTGAATTACCCTGCCAAACATGAGTGCTGGGAAAGCGTCATTCCCGTTAGGTCCCTGCTAAGTCATTCTAAAAATAATACTTTAAAATTAAATTCTGGCTTACTTAATTGCTCGCTTATATTTCAATAAAAAAAGCATATTGGAACAAATTGTACCTGCAACCCCAAGAATATGCAGAGATACCATGGCGGAACATCCTCAATTGTGTAGATCATGTCCGTCCTTTGTGCGTCTGAGCTTCCGCTGCTGTCAAGGGTTTCTGCCAGAGAACTCTGTCAACCATTAAATTAGCCACCATTTAATACCACAGTCTATTAATAGGTTACTGGGATACGTCTGAGGAGATCTGTGGCCTTCTGCAAAGCACTATCAGTTCACATAGCCAAAAAAACAACAACCTTTTACTTTTCTAGTAATCAGCTCAACTACATGGACGCCCCTCTCTTTAATGTAACCGACCTCTGCCTTTACATATAAGCAAAGCATTATTCTGTTCCTATGATATAATCACCACATATCCTGTGCCAAAAGAAAAGTGGGGCCCAACTGTTTACACAAAGAAATGTAGATGGTAGATTAGAGGTTAAGGGATATTTTCTGGAAAAAAAGAGAAAGATTACAGTTGTATAAGATAGCCAGACTCTCTGATTTATGAGAGCACTTTACTGTTTTCTAATGAGCTTTCTTTTATTGCAATGTATATAGCTTTGCTAGAAATATAACCCTAGGCGTGGAAGGGACCACTTAGTCCTATTCAACCCTCATCTCCACGCAGGAATCTAACCAAAAGCATAGATGTTCATCCACTCTCTGCTTGACACCTTCTGTAACAGAGACCCCACTGTTAACATATAGACACATAATGTGGAATACCACTGCTGATTGGCTTTTCAGATGAATTCCTCTTAATTTAAAAAAATGCATTTTCAAATGTTTAGTCAAAATCTACCTTCCTAAAACTTAAATCTATTGTTCCGTGGTCCTGCACTTTGGATCCCTTGACTCTCTATCTTATTGTTATCGAAAGTATGCTATCATACAGCCCAACCCCACCTCAATTATCCTCTTCTTAGGACCAAACATAATCCCTTTCCTTAAGCTCTCTTCAAAGGACTGTAGTTTCCAATCCCCTGAACCTTCTCTGAGTCTGCTCCAGTGTGTCTGACTCCTTCTCAAGCGGCTCCTAATTGGACACAAATACTTCCCCTAATTTACACCCTATAATTCTGCTGATGTAAGAAAAATGCTATGTGCCTCGTGTCAATCCCATCATGGTTGGAACAGATTCAGAGTTTAGGGAAGACAATGAGGTGTAAAGTTTGATAAACACTTCTATGGCAAATCTAAGTTTTAGAATCCTTTTTTAGGATTCTTAGTTGGAAAAGGCCTCATAAACACTCAAAAGAATTATGGCAAAAACTACACCGCAATCAAATATAACCAAACCCAAAGATAAAGATAAAGATTTGTGTGAGAACATCTGCTTTACACGTACAGGTAATTCTCACTCACTAATCACAATTGGAAGCTGCAACTTAGTCGCTATGCACTGAGTTAGTTAAGAGCAACCTCACCTGATCACATCGACTTAAGACACTAGTTCCAGCTGCAGTTGTTAAGTGAACCAGCACTGGAAAGTTAAAGATGGCATGGCCAATACTGACCTAAATGATCTGATTTGATTGTACCTTTCCTTCACTTCTATGAAAGACCCCAAGGCACTGTTTTTCTGCAATTAGTTACTGGGATTTTTCAAGCTCAAGGTTTACTAAGGCTTTAGACTGAAAGTAAAGAACTTCCAAAAGGTACAAGAGGTCAAATTAAATATGTTGAAAGTAAATAAGCAGTGACATGAAAGATCAGCAAGGAAGACACACAACTCTCTTTCCAAAAGTAGAGAGTAGCTTATTCTTTAATAATGAAGTTATTAATCTATAATGCAAGGAATTAATTACTTATTGAATGCAGTACGCTTCTGAAGAGGAAAAGAAGATGGGTCGATAAAGAAGAGCAAAGAGTGTGAAGCTCACAGTGAAAAAGTGTAAGCTTGGTGTTGCAGACCAAAATAAGTATTCATTGCAAATCTCAAAAGGCTGTAACTTTGTATAGACTATGGCACCATTTTTCATATAAATGGTTTTAATTTGGGGGGTATTGAAGGGCCATGAAAACAGGAACACCACTTAATACCTTTTATTGGCAGTAGCCCTTGTGGGGGTAGTTTATTTAATTTAGCAATTTCAGATTTTGCTGAAATTTAGGTTTATATAACCAAAGTGCTGACTTAATCCTTACTTGATTGCAGAGTATCTTGTTCTCAAACATGACTTGACTTTTTAAGCCCTGAAGCCACATGTCCGCTGTGATTTAAGTAGCACATGCAGCTTCCTCCTCCTATTTCCTCCTGTGTATATGCCGTGTTCATTATCAAAGGGATTAACAGGACATCAAACAAAGGAGTATTTTTTATTTCACAAAAGAGCATGTTCTGAAGCTGCCACTGTAGCTGTAGCCACAGAACCCTTCCACAGGGCATGGTACCCATGGATCCTCCTACAACAGATGTCAGTGGATTCCTACAAGAAAGAGCTAAAGGCAAACTCTCAGGTCTCCCACCTCCTCTGAAGACCAACTTTTCAAAGAGTTGGAAGGAGAATGTGCACAACAGAGCTTATAGAAAACCTATGCTGCAAGGTGCAGCTTTACCTGGGAGGAATTTAACCCCAGAAAATAGCTGTCTGTTTGGGTCTCATTCAGTATAATACCTAGACACAGATGCTGCCCTTTGAAAATAATGATTTAGGGCTTAATGAGTTGAATGAACATAGACAGTTGCATTCAAACTACAGTGAAACAGATTCAGGTTAGTTCTTTGGAGATATTTCCTGATGGTCAAGAATGTCAAAGAGTGGAACAGGCTGCTTCATGAAATGGTATGTTCCTTTTCCCTGAAAAGCCATCTGCTGAAATGCTTTAGACATTCCTGCACCGAATGGAGAGTTGGATTAGATGACCTCCCCAGTTGTTTTTATTTTTTCGCACTTTTGCTTTCTTTCTTTCTTTCTTTCTTTCTTTCTTTCTTTCTTTCTTTCTT